TTAGTTTCTGTTATATTGAATGCATTCACACACCACTACAAAAATATATTACCACATCCGATCCATCTAAGTTGTAATTTTATAAACAAATGCTTCCCCGGTGAATTTGAAATTGAAATCAAAGAAATCAATAAATCCAAAAAATATTCAACCTCTTTAGGAATATTAAAACAAAGATCTCAACCAATCTCATCATCACTTTTAATTAATTGTGTTTATTCAACAGTGATTTTTGGTGACTTGAATTTAGAAAAAGGCATTTCGCCACCATTCTATGAACAAATTCCAATTCCACCTAGAGAATTGTGTGTCACCGCACCGTCTAATGGAGTCACTAAAAATATGGGAAAATATATAAAAAAAATTTTTTTTTATTTAGCAAAAAAAAAATCTCTGTAATCTAAAAGCTTAATCTATTTACTATAATTTCTCTTAGTTTCATGTCTGTATCTCTTTATTTGAAGGCTCTGATACAATTTTTATTTATATAGTTTTTACATATATTCTTATTCTTTTAAAAAAAAGTTTGTTATTGATCGGCATTATGTTACATCACCTAATTTTGATTTAATTAGGGCATCTCACACCCCAACAGGACATGTCACATCAATTGATTTTCTATATGTGAAAATAAACTTGAAATTCGTGTAACATAAGTTTTTTTTAAAATATCGTTATTTTTATAATAAACTCGAACTTCGTTGTTAGAGTAAAATGAAAGTACTCCATTAAAGCTTTCTAATGAATGCTCTTTCATATCGAAAGGTCTTCTCTACATGAATTCATGGCTATTCAAAAACGGTATTACTTTTTCACTTCAAATCTCAGATTATTTCTCAATATTGTTTTAAAAGACTTGATAGTAAATGAGAAGGTGTAGAATACTTTAAGCTTTCATATGGTCATTACTTTATGGGGGTATTGGTTAATAAGTTTTAGAGAGGTTCATGAAAAACTATTTTATAGAAATTTAATAGTCATGAAGAATTTTTGTAGATGGGATTAGCAAAAACTAAAAGGTATTTTTATATTTCTGACTTTATATTGATTGAAGTTTCATTAATGACTATTATGAATCAGTAGTTGTTATAGCAACATTAAACAATAATATTAGTAACAATAAATAGCAAACAACAATAATGAATCATTGTTTTTTGAGGATGATAATAAAGATTAAGATCTGGAGTGATCGAAGCATTAAGGACAAGATCTATGAACAAAATATAATAATGAATGTTTTATTAATTATTCAATAGTTTGTGTAGGAGTGATCAAAGTAAGCATTAAGGACAAGATCTATGAACAAAATATAATAACAAACATTTTATTAATTATTCAATAGTTTGTGTAGGAGTAATTGAAGTAAGCATTAAGGACAAGATCTATGAACAAAATATAATAACAAACATTTTATTAATTATTCAATAGTTTGTGTAGGAGTAATTGAAGTAAGCATTAAGGACAAGATCTATGAAGCTTGTGAAGCAAATTTTACAAAAATGAATGTTTTATCAATTATTTATTTATGTATATAAATTTCTTTTATTTTAACTTATATAATAACATCACTATGACAAATAATTAAATGAATAAAGTCAGAGATAAAACACCTTTTAATTTAATCATTATTGTTGCTTGTTTACTATTATAATTATTATTTATGTATATACTGTAGGTAAAGAAAAACTTTAATGTCTATTTATTTATTATATTACTTTTAAAATAAATGATTTTACTATAAAAGACATACCTAAGTGATCAAAAATCTACAAATATTCATAATAATGTAATATTTGGACATTTATTTCTACTTATACTTGCAATTGGACATGTCAAACAAAATTTTACATATATGAATATAAAGTCAAAATTTGACTTTGAGGGTCAGATTATTTTTGGTTTTATTAACAACCTGCTTTAAAAATTTTCTTAAAGCAGATACATATGATAAAGAAGTTATATCTCAAATTTGGCAGTGGTTGCTACACAGCAAGGGTACTAAATGGGGATTAGAAGTCACTTGATTGTAAATTTTTACTATGTAAATTCGAATTTTACTATGTTGCAGATTATCAAAAATTTACTATGTTTACAACTCCCTATTGATCTGCATGACATGTCCTGTGACTGATATAGATTTTTAAAAAATATCTGCTAAATTGAATATATTAATATATTCAGTATACTGGATATTTTTTTAAACCTTCTCATGTCATACATTAACAAATTTATTTTGATATAATGGATAATGATTATCATTACTGTTTTGAAAATTTAAAAAAAATAACATATGATAATAAAATAAATGATTTTAAAAAGTTAATATTTTTGAAAAAATAGAAACAATAGCTTATTATTATAATTAAAAATAATTAAATGTAAAATAAAACTTATGATTTGTAAAATTAAAATTTATGGCTTGTATAATGATTTGTAAAAATAAAAAATATCCACCTTTGTCTATAATCAAAAAAAAAATTTTATCAATTTTTTTTAAAAAAAAACAAGCACAGAAGCTATAAAAGGTTCGGAAACTGCACTCATATATGTACAACAAAAAAAAATTGGAAATTGATTCCAAGTAATTAGAAATGTCAATAAATTAAAGAAGGAAACTTCTTACAAAAATTCTCAAGAAAGAGTACAAACAAGAATTGAAGAATACTATATGCTAGAATAAAATAAATTTAAATTTTTTTTTTGTTGTTTATATATATTATTATTTTATTGTTTACATATTTTATATACTGTGAAATTTGTTTGTTGATTTTTTTAAATTTAACTGATGTCACATGATTTTTATTATAAAATCCGCTAATTCCAAATTTCTCGTTTTTACGGATATTTCGATTTAGCGGATAAATTTCTTGGGCCAAACTTATCCGTTAAATCGAGTTTCACTGTGTAATACAAAAAATGTATTTTAATTATATGAATTGATCGACGGGATTTTTCAGGAATTCATTTCTATATTTGGAATATTCCCTGACTGCACTGTGACCAATAAAATATCAAAATCAGTGATTTTTTCCAAGTTTGGACTTAAAATAAATGTTAAAACAATTATAAAATAACTAAATATATTTTTTTTAAAATTCAATTATTCCATTTTCTATTTTTCATTCCTTTTAATTTTTTTTCTCGCCGGTCGAGTTTATTGGTTACTAATTCTTAAGATATAAATACATACACTCGCATACATTCATTTGTGTATATAATAAAAACAACTACTACAAAAAAAAAAGTTCAAAATGGGAGAATTAGGTAAAAATGATAATGATATGCTCAACCATCCAAATGATTTTGAAACCCTAATGAATATGTTAATGCTTTGGTATAAGAGAGAGTTATTCAACTGATACTGACAGACCAAATATTATTTATTCTGATGAAATAGCTTTAAACCAACAAGATTTTCCCAAAAGACCTTTAGACCAAGATAGCAAACTCGGAAAACTTGACTCCATCAAAAAGCCAGTTGCTAGAGGTGATTCGGTTAAGAATTTGAAAAGACTTGATTCTAATAGCGGTTCTGTAACTGTTAAAAAACCTTTAACAAGATATGAAAAATTTCAAGCTTGGATGGTTAATGAAGGTATAAATTTGTATACAAGTTGACCAATTATTATTTTAAACAAAACTGCCATCAATACATATTTTATGTATTTATTTTATTTTTTTTTCTGACTTTAAAAAAATTAATATTATTTTAGGAAATCGAAAAATATTTTTTACAATTTGGATTTTACTTCATGGATTAGTTTTTTCAATGGCGTTTTTGAATTTCTTATTTAGTGATAAATTGTCAACAGCTCGTAATAGTTTTGGTATAACATATCCAATTGCTCGTTCCTCGGCCTTGGTTTTACATGTAGATGCAGCCCTTATATTATTTCCAGTTTGTAGAAATTTGATTTCTTTATTTCGTACAACTCCATTAAATACCATCATACCATTTGATGAAAGTATCGAGTTTCATAAGGCTATCGGCTGGTCAATATTATTTTTCTCTTTGGTACACACAATTTCTCACTGGGTAAATTTTGCAAGATTGACTATTGATTTGAATGAAGATTTCATCTATTTTTTGAAATTAAATTTTTTAAGTGGTCCTGGCGCAACTGGTTATGTTATGTTGATATCTTTGCTTATAATGGTCTATACAGCTATGGATAAACAGAGACGTAGAAATTTTAATATGTTTTGGTATTTGCATCATCTATTTGTACCTTTTTTTGGTGCATGGGCATTCCATGGATCATTTTGTATGATAAAACCTGATAGACCACCATTTTGTGATGAAATTGCTTCGTTTTGGAAATATTGGATAGCGTCTGGTACAATTTATATTGGTGAACGTATTTTACGTGAGATACGTGCACGTCAAAACACATATATATCAAAAGTTGTTATGCATCCATCAAAAGTGGTTGAAATACAAATCAAAAAAAAAAGTATTGTGACCAAAGCAGGTCAATACATCTTTTTATGCTGCCCTGCAATATCTATATTTGAATGGCATCCATTTACTTTAACCTCTGCACCAGAAGAAGATTATATATCTGTACATATAAGGACTGTGGGTGATTTTACTAGAGAATTGGCAAAGAAATTAGGTTGTGACTTTGAGGAAGAAGAAAGATTACGTAAAAAAGCAAAGAGTGAAAATCGTGTTAAAAGTACTTATGATGGAATTGATATTTCAATAAATAGTCCAGAGTTGAAGAAAATTTTACCTAGAGTGATGATTGATGGTCCTTTTGGTAGTGCTTCAGAAGATGTATTTAAATTTGAAGTTTCTATATTGATTGGTGCTGGTATTGGTGTAACACCTTTTGCAAGTATTCTAAAAAGTATTTGGTAATTATTTATTTATTATTTTAAAAAAGAAATTGGCGGATAGCCAGTTTAGTTGATGATTAAATTGATATTATTATTAACTGTTGTCGTGATTGATATTGAAGGTATCGTGTAAACTATCCAAAAAAATCTACCAAGCTACGTAAAGTTTATTTCTTTTGGATTTGCCGTGATTATGATGTGAGTCTTTTCAAAAAAAAAATTTATTATTATTGTACAATGAGAACGGGAAATAGGTTTTACATGAAGCTGTAAATTACATATTAACACATACATATATTATTTTTTTTAAAAAAAAAAAATTTATTGATTATGATGATAGTCATTTGAATGGTTCCAATCATTGTTACTAGCTATTGAAGAACAAGATATTGATCAATTCATTGAGATCCACACTTATCTTACAGCACGTTTACGAGATTCCGATATTGGTAATATATTAGTGAATGATGATGGTAATGTTAAAGATACCATTACTGGACTTCGTGCACCAACACATTATGGTAGACCAAACTGGGATAAGATTTTTTCAAAAATGAGGGATCAACATCCCTCCACTGATGTTGGTGTATTCTTTTGTGGACCAAAACCACTGGGAAAAATAATAAATACTAAATGTAATTTATGGAGTCAAGGATTTGAAGAGGGCACAAATTTCGTTTATGGAAAAGGTAAAAATAGCAATAATAATCATTTTGTTTATTTTTGCAAGTATTAATTGTTTGTCGATTTGAATATTAAATTAATATTAATGTGTTTTTAATATTATTACTACAGAAAACTTTTAAAAAATTTGGTTTTTTATATTTAAATGGGGAAGAGGGAAAAGATAGACAACCAGATAGATATATTAAAATTATATTGTATTTATTTAATAGAGATCTATAAAAGAATTGTAAAAATTAACTTATAAATAATAAAAACTTATTTTTTGAAAAAATAGCTGAAACATTTCTTGCTTGATTTCTTATTAAAAAAAAAAGTCATGTCTATGGTTGTGATTGTAATTTGTGAATTTTTAATTCATATGCTAGTTCCTGATGCAAAGACTATAAAAAGTAAAAAAAGTTAAATTCAGGAATTGGTCTAAATTTTCTTAAAATATTTATTAATAACTTAAAAAATTGATATTTACATGTCTTTTCATTCATAAACGTAACTGTTTTTTATTATAAGTAAATGTAGTAGTAATAGTAGTAGTAGTAGTAGTAGTAATGATTATAATTTAACACCTGAGGTTACGACACACATCATCTAATAACAAAGCTACGCGTAGAATACAACATACGGCAAATCTTTCCAAGAGTTACGACATAGCCGTGTCGTCATAGTGCAGGCACCCACCCCTAATGACAAGGTTAATCTGATAATTAGCCGAAAGGATATAACGAAATTCAAGGATTTGAAAAATCTCGTCACGAGGAAGCACCTGAACGTACGTGATCCGCAATACATTTTTTTAAAAAAAGATTAAAAGAACCTAGAAATCTAATAATACATGAAATAGGTGGCACTTAAAGGATAATTTTAACTAATATTTGACATGTTGATTTTTGAATGATGGCGTGTGCATAATGATTTCAGAACACTGTTATCTTTCTTTTGGGCTTACATACACAGGCCAGAAAGAGCCTCTCACAAAGGAAGAAGAAAAGCAAACTTTGCTATTTCTCTCGCATGTTCTTAATATCTTTTACACTATTAGTGCTTGCCTGTTCTATTAGTATTATTTTTTATTATCCATTTTATATTCTTTATATACTAATTGAAGTGCTAATTGATTTTATTTCTCCCAGTTTTGTCAAAGTGAAAATGACTTTGGCATAAACAGCTTTCTAATTAAATATCTGAAGCAAAGATTCCAAGTGCTGTATATGAATTTATTTATGTTAGTTAACGCAACAAGTAATTGATTTCGTGCTAGAGGATGTTGACTATAATATTATTGATTTTTTACATTTTCATTTTTCATTTTCCAACTTTAATTGCTCTTCCTCCACCCTTCTCTTGGCTGATAGATTATAAAAATCAATCAATCAATCAATCAATCATATCATTAATTAGGTTTTTTTTAATATTTAATGAAAATAACACTTTAACAACAAAATCAAACAATAATCAAAGAATTGAAGGATCGATTGACCAACCTTTTTAGGTGCTGATAATTTGATAATGCATTTTTTTTTTCGCTATTCGTCTAATGATAAAAAGTTTTGCAATTGTACAATTGTGTAATTATAATATCATTTTTCTTCTTCTTCTTTTGATCAATTGAATGTTGGTCTTGGACTACTTTGGCAAAAAAATCCATCGTCTCTTGATCATTTATTTTTTTTTTTGAATCAACTCGATCGTTTCTTTCAACAATAAATTTACTGTCTACTATTCAATAAATTTTGACTGCATGTATACAAATCTGAAGTAGATCTTCAAATTTGGTTAGCACATCCCGTTGACTATGATTACTTCAAGATGTGTGATCGTGATGATCTCGAACGTGATGTATCATTACTGCTAGTCACGAAATCTTTTTCACAATGTTCGTGTAACATAGTAATCAATTAATTGACTTGCCCACTTTTATTATCCATTTTCATTTTCCATTGATTTAATTAATTAATTTAATTCTACATACAACCTATACTATAATAATATATATATTAATATATATTTATATATATTTGACAAAATGTGAGAAAAATAAATAAACTAATTTTAGTATTTTTAAACCTATTTTTATTTTATTTATAAAAAAAAATTGGCTATTTTAGTTATTAGTTAAACTTTTTATTTTAAATTAATTAAATTGGAAATTATCTTATTCTTGTAATGAAATTTTTTATTTTAAATTTTTTTTATCTTAATAATCACTGAATCTTGCATGATTCCTAGCAACACATGGTTTATTTGAAAAACATGCGTGTTACAATGCTTATTTATTTACAAGCTAATTTTACTTTATAAAAAAAAATTTTCCAAGATTAAAAATAAATAATTATTTTCCATATGACTTATTGGATTAACTCTATAAAGATAAATTAAAACTTTTTTTTTACAAAAAGAGAGAGAAAGCCGATGATCTGAGGGAAATCATGTTTGATATTGAAGCTATTTTTTGATGATGGATGGATGTTCCGAAATGTTATTATGAACACGTAAAATATCAGGTATTCTCCAAACAAAGCTGCATGTTTTAGAGGAGAAATGATTTAAAACAATGATTATTAATATTTTTATTTTTTATTTAGTAATTAATTACACACTACATTGCTACTAACCAATAATTGTAAAAGTCATATCATGAACATCAGCAATTGCTTCTCTTGCATTTTCATTAAATCTTTCGCATTAATCTTACTCGTTTCGCTTGTTCATATTCAAGAAATTAAATTCTCATGTGAGTCATACAAAGAATTTGATAATTATAATAGTTATGATCGAGAATGAGTGGATGAATGGATAGACAAGAAGCAGCAAATCATAGTTAACTAATGAACCAAGATTCTCATTTTATTAATCAATAAATGAATAAGTTAGTGATAGTATGAACAGAATGTAGTAAGGAACTTTTAAAAACTTGTTGAGAAACTTGAAAGTTGATAGTCGATATTAAGCTTTATGCTGCGTCTGTGTAACAGAATTTCATTGAAAATGGATAAATAACAATTTATTATTTAGGAATTATTAATAATATATTCGTATTATATATATCATACTATATAAAAAAAAAAACTTAAAAATATTTTTTTTTTAATTTACAAAATCATATTTTGCAAAACAGGCAGAAGAATTTATATAATTAGCAATGGATTGAATGAGAAAATGAGGAGGATACTGGGGTGATGATGTGAATACGGAAGAATTCAGTCCTCAAGATAACCCATTAATAGTAATTGATGGTTCTAACGGAACTAATATGAACCGGAGTAGTAGATCAGACGAAGAGTGAATGATGATATATATGTATAATAGAATGATATGATAGAATCATATATTAACAGTTATTTATTATTATGTAATCAACCAAAAATTTGGTTTCTTTTAGTCTTTAATAATAATAAACATGTTAAATCACAAATTTGTATAAATCCATTTTATGTTATTATAAAATCCCTCGAGTATATCTATCTATCTACGTGTGATCAATTAACAAAAATAGAAAAGTATAATTGAATAATAATAATATACTATAAATAAATTGATTAAGTCAGCACATGTATTCGAATAAACCTTTCCATCACACACATCAGTCATTAGACATTCAACACATATAATATACATCTCGATTAGGGAGGGGATGTCCAAAAATGACATCATTTTGGTTACGAAAATTTCCCCCAAAAAATAATGCCATTTGGGGCACACCCCCTTAACCAATTCTGCAGTTTTTATATATTTCCCGATTCACGTCATGTTCCCTATAAAAATTGAGCCTTTTTTTAATTACAAGATTCCCAATTTATATACTAGTATATATGCGAGATGACTTCATCGTATGCATAAACAGCATGTCTGTTAAAAATATCGATTTGCATCATGCATTATCGAATAATTGCTTTGCTTAAATTAAAATTTACGATCCAATTCAAAAAAAAATTTTTTTTTTTGCCTCATTGTTATCCGTAACAAGCTACGATCTGTTAACATATCGTAAAAAAAAAATTAAAAAATATAATAATTTTAAAAAAAAAAACGCTGTCTAAAATAAAGAATTTACAAGAAATTTTTTTAATTATTTCGGTAAAATGTAAACAAAAAGTGAATGCTGTGGCATGACTTAGCTGCCCTTAATTCGCAGAACAAAAAAAAATTGTTGTGTGCGTGTTAAAACATAGAATAAGTCGGTAACAATTTTATCCAGTTCCGTAACCGGATATGTAAATTAATGTCCGTGTGTGTGTTAGTATTGATAGGTCCGTGTGTATATCCGATATTCTATAAATGATTTAATTCATTAGTTTTTGAATTTTTATGTACGTATATCTACATGGGTTCAAACGAGTATTTTATTAAAAAAAAGAGAAATCCCAATACTTACCATTGAACGGGAGAATGATATGTCAAGGAAGTGATGTATGATCCGTGTGTTTTGTGTTTGTTTGTGTATGAGTGTATGGACGATTACTTTCCCCACTTAAACCAAAATCCGGATTTAAATCACTATTACTTGATGGTCGCCTTTATGGGAAAATTGTTATTTTTGTGAAAGCATTTTATAAAATGAATTTTTTAAACAATATGGTTTGGAAAAAAATGATTGTTATCAATGTTTCATTCACGGATTCCCTGATTTGATTGAAAATAATAATTGTAATATTATTATTATTACTTATTATGTTTTGCTCTTTTTTGTTTTGTTTTTTTTATTTTCCATGGGAAAAAATCTAGAGCTTAAAATAAAAATTAAGCTTCGATCAGACGAATTTTAAAAAAATTAAAAAACTTGAAACTACCGAAAAAAGGATAAATTAATTATAATAATGAATGTAGTCAAAGAAATTAAATTAAAATCTCTTGATTTTGTTGTTTATTTGTTTATATTTATTTATTTATTTATAATTGAAAAAAACTTTAAATTGTGTGGGGTGGAAAATATGCGAATAACTCCGAAATATACGTTCATTTATGGTCAGTTGTTGTTATTATTATTATTATTATTATTATTATTATTATTATTATTATTTATTAGTCAATAAATGCTCGAGCGCTCTCCCTTTTTTATATAACAAGCTTTCTTTTTGAAACGTGCATGTAAAAAATAATAATAATTGGACGACGAACGACGGTCATAAGAAACCTTTCGCTTATATGTTGCTACACTATTAATTTAATTTTTAATTTTTTTGATAGAAAAAAAATTGGCGGGAAGAGCGGAAAATTAGAAATAGAAAAGCGAGAGCAAAAGTTATTTATAGATATTACGGGTCTTTTCATTTGAATTAATTTGATTAATTGAACTAACTATGAAAATGTTGTATCTGCAATAAAATTTTTATCGGCTAGCGTATAATAAAGCACGGAAAAATTTCATTTTACAGCAGATCAAAAAAAAAAGAAATAATAATAGATTAAATATATTAAATATAATAAAAAATCCTTAAACATAGCAAAATGATAAGCATTACATAATTACCAAAATACTTTAAAGTATTGAATTTTATTTTTTATTATATATTTATATTTACTATTATTATCATGTTTTGTGAAATTAATTAATAAATCCTACTACAATCCAAAAATGTTCTCGTGTTTGATTTATTTACAATAATGATATAGTAATAAAATAAATAAAATAATAATAAATGGAATAAATGAAAAAAATTTTTTGAACATGCATTTATTTTGGTGGGGAGATAATAATTAAAATTAATCTAGTTAATCAAAAATAAGCAGTTCATTAAAAAAGATTAGCGGTGGATTATGTAATTGTATGTAAACTAAATTAAAATTAAACATGAAATTTATTTTTTTAATTAGTTTATTTTATTCAATATATATGCATAGATGTTTTATAACATTATTTTGTTTTCGTCATTGTATAATAATTAATATATGTTGTGGAATCGTTTCAATTCAAAAATCACACAAGTAAATGTGAGGTTATTGGGTAACGTTTGAGTGCAATGACACTTTTTTGATTGGCTAATTTTTTATTTAAAGTGTTTTCTTTATTTTCGAAGCACAACATATATATGTACACGTATTCAAAAGATCCATTCATCATTCATTTGAGAGAATTAATTTTTATAATAACTAAAAGAAATCAATGACTTGTTTATTGTTGTGTGTTATTAGTAATTATCATCGCTCGTTAATTAATCAATTATAAATGTATCATAATTAAAGATAATTTGAATGGTAAGAATTTGAGAATCAATTGGTCATGAGAAATAAAAAAAAGAAATTGATACAAGAAATATTAAAATTATTATTAATAAAAAAAGATAATCATGATGATTAATAATAATAGTTCGTAAAATATGAGATTAGATATGAATGTGTGTATGTGTGTGTTATATAATGTGTGTTATAGTGGATGAATATATATGATAGTGTGTGTGTTGGTTATATGATTGTGATAGGAAGAATAAACGTAAATGGAAAAAGTAAAAAAAAAAAAAAAGAAAAAATATACAAAATAATTAAATTATTGGTGGTGAATTATTAATAATAATTAAAAAAAATAAAAAAATATTAATTACGATAAAATATAATAAAAAAAAAAAAATATACACAATAAAAAAAAAATTCGTAAAGATATTTAAAAAAGTGAAATATTTATATATTTAAAATATATAATCAAATTAATTAATTAATTAATTAATTAATTAATTATAAATTATAATTAATAAAATAATTTCTTTTTTTTTTTAGAAAAAATAAAAATAAAAAAAAAAGAATAAAAAAATCAAACTATATAGTGTAATCATCCATATGCGTATAATATATTAACCAACCCACCACACCAAGAAAAAATAATTGGCTTGCCATTGTTTATGAAAAATTTAAAGAAAAATTGGAAAAAAAAAGAGTAAAGGAAATGATAATTTGAAATTGAAATTTCTTATAAATTTGGTGATTATTATTTATTCGTTGACATCATAACAAACATCATAACAATAATATATATTTACATTTGATATATTATTTAATTATTATGTAATGAGGATGGATTTGGTGATGGCGAAGTTGGGGAAGATGTTGTTTCTTGATAGGTCTTTAAGTAGGGTGTGAAATTATTAAAGATTTTTTGATTTGTATTCTTTTCTTTACCATTTGGTCTATGGACACGAATATGTTGTGTTAAATTATCAGATCTGGAGAACCTTTTTGTGCAATGAGGATGCGTGCACGCGTATGCTAATAATAATAACAATAATAATTATGTTATTGATTTGAAAAAACCATATTTTATCATTGTTACAAAGAAACAAAAAAAAAGATATAATGTGAATACTTACGTCGTTCTAATGTGTGAATTGATCTGATATGCCTTTTAAGGTGTTCGGATCTTTTGAAAACTCTCCCACAACCAGAATAAGTACACTCGAAAGTTTTAGTTCCAGGTTTTGTGATCTTTAAGTTATTGTTGTTCATTCTCCTACCTCTTGATTTTGCTGGTTTTTGATTTGTCGTTGATGATGAATTGGATGACGATGAGTTGGATGATGATGATGATGATGATGATGACGATGAAGAAGAAGATGATGTTGAAGATGATGTTGTGTTATTAGCAGATGTATTCGCGCTCGTTGAAGAAGTAGCGGAAGTAGTAGAATGTTGTAATTGATTATTGTTACTGAGGATTCCTAGCATTAAAACATCATCATTTTTTATTTTACGTGATCCTTTTGCTCTACCGCGCCGTTTAGGCGTAGGAGCGACATCATCATTAATGTCAGAAGAAGTGGAAGAACAGATATTATGATTATGATTTGTTGATATAGAAATTGGTGATATGGTGGTTAAAGGTGGAGAAGTAATTATTACTGGTGGAATTGGCATTAAAGATCTGTTGTTATTATTGTTACCATTATTATTACCAAGATTGCCAATGTGTGATGATGTTATTGACGATGATAGTGTGGGAGATGGTGAAGAAGAAGATATTGAAGAACAGAAACTAACATTGTTACTACTGCTATTATCATGATGATGAAGATGATTAATAAGTAGTTGACTTGTCATTATGGGCGATTGATCTTGTGGTGATGAAATTAAAGGAGTTGTGCATATGCTAGGGTGACTACAATTGGTAAGATCGGGACAGCTCCCACCACTTTCGCTTGAAAAAGTTCTCGTCATGTCTGTCACATCGTACATTGATGGGCCGAATGAAGCATTATTGTTGTTGTTATCAATTTCTTCAAAATGGTCAAAGAAAGGAAAATGTGGTTGATGATCATCCCCATTTAATTTAAGATTGTAGAATGTATCATCAGGTGATGATATACAACAATTGTTGTTGTGATGATTAATTGTTGGGATAAAAAATACGCCGTTATAACTTTCCTCTAATAGCTCTGTATAAGAAATTCTGCTTAGATAATCGAGATCCACTACTTCTGGTTGCTTATGATAATAAGTTTGCGTAAAAGTTTGTTGTTGTTGTTGTTGTTGTTGTTGGTTGTAATCATAATTGTTGTTGTTGTTGTTGTTGTTGTTTGGGATAATAGCAATAGGTGAAGCAGAGCGATAACCATCTAGCTGTAAAACTGTTGGATCATTATTTAAATCTTGAATGTCATACAAACTTGTAAGTAAATCCATCTTTATATTTAAAAAAATTTTTTGATAGAAAAAAAAAGGTTTGGAAAAAAAGATTTAGAAAAATTTTTTTCTGATTGATTATCGAATTAGACTAATTAATTTTTGTATATGTATGTGTAGAGTCAAATGTTACACAAAATGTGTGAATCAAAGAAAGAAGCAAAGAAGTGAAGAGAAATTAAAATCGTAATTAAAAAAAGAAAAATTTCGTAAAATAATTATGATTGAATTGTATAATTGAGAATTGAGATGAAATAATAATATTTAAAATTAAAAAAAAAAAAATTTAATATTAATAGAAATATTATTATTATGATTACAAAAAACGTAGAAAATTTATCGTTAAAAAAAAGAAATCCTTTAAAAAAAACCTTGAAAAAAAATCAATAATAATAAAAAGAATAATAATAATAATGCGGCAAGATTAATATATATAAAAGAATATGGTGTTGAAGAATAATGATATGAGATGATAATATTGTTCGTTTACAAAATTTACAAAAAATAATTTATTTATTGTTATTTTTGATAATTAAACTCTTCAAAGAATAAAAAAATTGTTATTATTATTATTATTATTATTATAATAAAATTTTTTTTCGAAAAATTTAATTCTCAAAAAAAATATTTAGAATCTGTATTTATATAAAATAAAATATATAGTTATTTTTATCCTTTTTTAATTTTTTTAAAATAATATTAAAGAAATTATATATATATAAATATATAAATATATAAATATCATTCCTATACACTTCTACTACTTTTATCTTAAAATATTTGATTTGCTTAATTATTTTTTTTTATTATTATTGTAAAAAATATAAACAATAAATAAAAAAGGAATGTTTATGTAATATAAACTATTATTATTATTATTTTAATATACATCTAAAAAGTGCAAATCAAATCCGTCGTGATGCAGTGGGACATGTTTTTGACGTTGCTTGTTTTTTTCATCACATAATCCAAGAAATTATATTTTATTTATATTATTTATTATGCATTCAATAATAATCACATTAATCACAAACAGCTAATCAATCAATCAATCAATCAATCAATCAATCAATCAGTTAAAAAGAAGAAGAAACAATTAACCAATTGAAACTGGTAATTAGTTTAATCACAATAGACCGACGACGTTAACTTAGTTATTTTTAAATTTATGTTCTAATGCTAATAATGACAATGTATCTGACTGGTAGGTAATTTTTCTTTAAATTACATACATATTAAATTTAATAATATGCGACGTGTGATATATATTTAAAACATTTATTTTTTGCTCGAAATCACGTGCACGAAAAGGTTAATTTCGTATGTTAGCAAATGCAAATAAATAATAAATACATGTGAGTTAGATAAATAATATTGTCTGTCTGTATATGCTATCAGTAATATTATTTGAATGGTTTTTATGTTTTAAATTTTAATTCGAATTCTTTAATAATAATAAAAAGAAAATTCCAATAAGTTTTCTCGTTCATTCAATTCAAATAGTTCATTCTTTGTTCACTCGTCGCATTATCATTATTATCATTATCATTATTATTATTATTATCATCCCAATTATTTATTCAAAGAAAAACTTTTTTTTTTTTTGTTTTTTTTTTGGTAAATCAAAAATTAAAATCATCTCGAACTTTTTTTTTTTCTCTTACTTTTCATAATTATTCATTCATTCAACACCACACTAAGGTATTTTATATACTTTAATGATATTGTTGAATCTATTAGATTGATTGTATTGTTTATTTGTTCTTTTAACAGAAGAACAGAAATAATAATAATAATAATAATATTTTTCAATTGTTGCATACATATAATAAATTTTTTCACTAATTATAAAAATATATAAATATAGCATGCATACATACATGCATATAATAAATATTGCTACCCATAAAAAGTCAATTCACGTTTATATTTTTTTTTTAATGAAAAACATAATAAATTCTCCTAACCAATCAAAAAATTAGTATGTTTAGTGTTATATGTGCATATATATATAATTAATTAATCAATTTAATTTTCTTTGTCAAGAAAGTCTTAATTAAGTAAATAAATGCGTGTCGTGTTGTAAAGACATATTTTTGTGTCACAATAATTATTTGTGGGTGTGAATTAGATTAATTTTAATTTTAATTAATTAGTAAATATTTTAAGGTTAAACTCTTTTCACAAAAATTTTCAAACAAATTTAAACAAACAAATTTGACAATAGAGAATAATCTTTGTTAACATAAAAGAATAAACTTCTTTAAAAATACATAAATAACAGTCAAATAGATATAGATGGATAAATGGAAAGAATTAAAGCATATACAACAATTATTATTGATTTGCAAAACCAATTGATTATTTTTTGTGTTTATTTAATTAATTTGTTCAATTTGTAACAGATTAATATAAATATAAACAAACACAACATATAAATTTTCTCAACAAACAATCGATTTCATGTGTTAATAATAAATTTTATTTTCTTTCACTCTCACTCTCGCTCACACACACACACACACATACACACACACACACTCTCACGCACACTCACTCACTCAATTTCAATCTCATTCTCGTCCATTTTTCTCTTTTAAATTTTGCTCTTGTGACCATAAATGTCGTGTTTGTGTTACCTGTAGTAAATATCTCGAGTATCCTATCCAAAAAGTAAAGGTGGGTTGTGGGTGAATGCATTTTTTGGAAATAATCATCAGAATATTTGGAGCATTTTCATTGGCCAATAAATAATAATAGGTAATAATAATAATTGATGTGTGATAAAAGAAACTAAATTAAAACGTCTGCCATCAACATATCACGTTTAAAAAAAAAGATTTGACATTTTTTAAAGTTGATCAGCATCATCGACATTCATTCATTCATTTCCAAATAAGTAATATATAATCAATGATATAATGAAAGAAATTGATGTAACAACAGCCTACTACATACAACACAATTAATTAATTATCCGATGGAAATTGTAATCTAGAATGATTGATTGCAATGAGCGACAAAAAAGAATGAATGAGATGGAGATGGGTGATAAAGATGGGGGTGATGGATAGAGAGAGAGAGAAAGAGAGAAAGAGATGGATAGAGAGACGAATAGACAGACAGACAGAGAGAAGGAGAGAGAAAGAAAGAAAGAAAGAAAGAAAAGGGAGTTAATGACAATTGCGGTGAATTGTAATTGGTGCTTGCTAGTATAACAACCACCCATTTAGTAAATAATAATAATTACTGAATATCGAGAGACGAACAAGTGATCAAAGAATAAAATAATTAAATAATTGTTTAAAAATAACAAAGTAGATAGTAAATGGATGATGATGGATGGATGAATTGGAAAATATATATGTACTGTATGTGTATATATGTATGTATATATGTATGTATGTATATATGTATGCACAACATTAACAGTTAGTTGGTTAATTATATAATTAATTAAATCACACATGATAGATTTGTCTTCAAATTGATAAAATAAAAAAATAATAATACATTAGGCGTATCAATCGTCCATCCATCAATCATTATTATTGAAGTAAGATAAGAACCCCAGTTGACACAGGATTTTTAACTTGTTTTGTACCAAAAAAAAATAATAAAAATACATATTAAAAATTTATTAAACATCTTTTGATATTTTTGGATAAATTGAAATAATTTTCTTGTGATGAATGATGATTGTGGTATTAATCATTGTATAAATGATATAATTTTACTCTAAAAAGAAGGGTAAGAGTGAGTGAGTGAATAATAAAACAACAAAGTTTACTAAAAATATACAACACATAATTATAATTATTCCATCACAAAGTTAATCTTTATTTTTATTCATTCATTTTTTTCCTAATTAATAAATAGTAATCCATGTAATAATTATTATTAATAAATATTATTATTATTATAAATTATAATTATTATTTATTATTATAATAAGATATTACTTTTTTTGAATAAAATTAATTATCGTAACATAACAATAAATAAAAAATACCAATTTGGTCCAAAATTACATCATCATTTCCTCACCTCAAGAAAGAGAATTGGCGAGAGAGGAAGAGAGAGAAAGAGAGGGAAAATAAAAAAATAGAAATTAAATAAACAATAAACAAAAGTATTAAATGAGTAATTCCAAAATCTTCCCCACACATTCATTACTTATTAGTTTATGTATTATTTTTATTGATTGTTGATTAAATTGATGTACACATAAATAAAATAAAAATAAACATAAATGTAAATGTAAATGTAGGTAAATGTAGTATAAAGTAATAAAATAAATTATGTAATGTTTAAAATAAAAGATATTTTTGTAACATGAACAAAACAAACATGATTTGCAATGTAACCAATCAATCCCAATTGTACGGATGAGAAATCTTGATTTGAACAATTCTTTATTATTTCTATATTATTCTCTCTATTTCTTGTATATATCTTTTCTTGTCAATTTCTTCTTTTTTAAAGTTTTGACTAACTAATATAGAGAATAATTGAACCGCCCAACCAATCAAGTTAGATCGCCATAACTTGAAATAGCCGAGGAGAAAAACTGATGGAAATGAATTTATTAAAAATTACTTAAAATTAATATTAAAAATATTAAGTTAAAATTAATATCAACGGTATCATTCTATACACACGCACACACACACACACACACACACACACACAGAGCAACTCCTTAAACCATCATCATATACACATTATTTATGTTGTTAATATGTATTACTATTACATGATCTTTTGAGTAACTTTTTACAATGATGATGATTTGCAATTCTTTCTTCTAAACAAATGAATGAATGAATATATTACCACGTACGTACGTACGTACACCCATGCACACTCTCGCCCACGCATACACAGAATCATTATTTTTTATTATACCATTTAGAAATTTCTTCGATTGATTGAAATATCGGAATAATGTTCGATTTAATGAATGAATGAATGAAGATGAATGAATGAATGACAAAAAC